CTTCTTCTTCAGATTGGATACTTATACTAGTTGGACAGAGATCAGAGTTGGACTTCGGTGATATGAGACTGTGGTACTTACCTGATTGGAGACTTGGAGATTGTTGGGGTTGATACTCGGCTGCATCGCAGTTCGGACACCAGTTATATTTGGACTCTGTACCTCCGACATTGGCGACCTATTGTCCTCGACATTTTGATCTTGTTGGATGACATTTTGGACTACCATATCGGTGACCTATCAGATTCTATCACGGTGACTTTCAGTGCTGTCTACCTGCCCCACCTCCTTCGTCTCTCCTCCCCCATTCATCTGTGTATGTTGTGTACGGGGCTGAGCACCTTCTTTGTATGGCTCAGACCCCACCATCTCACGGTTGTATGTGTGTGGAGTGATACTATGCGAGTCAGTCTATGTGGGTCAGTTCGTTTATTAGACTTCCGCTGCATACATGCTCATCCTATATTGGTTGATCTTTTACGCAAAAGTCAATTGCCCGATGCGTTGACGGCGTTCCGGTCTACTTTGCGCCACTTGCGTGCGCGCCGTTGTCTTTTGACATCCTCGACACCAAGTTCGACATGATTCTAGGCATGTCTTGGTTGCGTAGCGCCGATCATCCGGTGAACTTCCATGACCGAACCGTTCACATCCGTGATCGGAACGGAGTGTTAGTCCCATGTACGGTCGCRACCCCTCACACTTCGATTGCTTGTCACGTGGTTTCCATTGCGCGGATTCGCGACGCCATTGCTCGGAATGACGTCGAGGAGATGGGCCTTGTATTCTTGCATGCTCTCCCCTCGCCTGACGGACCAGCTGCGTCACCCCGCCGGACCCACGCATTTCTCACCTCTTGCACGAGTACAGAGACGCCTTCGAGGCTCCCACCGGAACGGTTCCGGATCGGCCCATACGTCACGGGATCACTCTCGAGGTTGGCGCCGTCCCTCCGCGTGGATGTATCTACCGCATGAGCGAAGAGGAACTCGAGGTGCTTCGCGCACAACTCGATGATCTTCTCAACAAGGGTTGGATTCACCCTAGTTGCTCGCCATACGGTGCACCTGTTCTCTTCGTCCGGACGAAGAACAAAGACCTGGTTATGCATCGACTATCGAAAACTTAACGCACAAACCGTAAAGAACGCCGGCCCTCTCCCTCGGATTGATGATCTCCTTGAGCGGTTAGGCGGAGCGATGTACTTCTCGAAGTTGGATCTGAAGTCAGGTTACCACCAGATTGAAATCCAGCCTCAAGACCGGTACAAGACCGCGTTCAAGACGCGGTACAGGCATTTTGAGTGGGTCGTCATGCCATTTGGACTCACCAATGCCCCCGCAACGTTTCAAGCARCRATGACGACTGAGTTTCGCRACTTGCTCGATCGCAGCGTCCTCATCTACCTTGATGATATCTTGGTTTATAGTAGGACGTTGGACGAGCACATCGTACACCTTCGCGTTGTTTTGAGTCGTTTGCGACTAGCCAAGCACAAAGCGAATCTCGACAAGTGCGAATTTGCCAGGCAAGAGCTTGAGTACTTGGGCCATTTTGTCACGCCGAAAAGATCCAAGCCATCGTGGATTGGCCGGAACCCCGTTGCACTACGGATGTACGCTCTTTCATGGGTTTGGCTGGATATTATCAGCGATTCGTCGAGTCATACTCGAAAGTGGCCGCTCCTTTGTCGAGACTTCARTCMCCGAAGGTGCCCTTCGAGTTYGACGACGCAGCCCGTGGCGCATTCAGTACGTTGAAGGCAGCGATGCAAGC